AGGCTACAGCAATGTGTTCTTATATGGAGGCTGGGTTAGAGAGTGGGTGGTGGATAGTGAAGTTTTAGTGACACTAATGTTAATAAGTTCTGATAACCCACTGCCATCGGACCAGCCAGTGAAGTTGTCTTTGAAAATTCCATGAGAAGGTGTCTTATTAGAATCAGAATGACCAAACAGTCACTCTTCTCCTGTTGAAGTTACATTTTTGCTTATGCTGTCAAGCTTTGTACGATGTAGTTGACTCGTATTTGGGGGCTGTGTTGGGTGGAACCCACCCATATCAGAGGCATGTTCAGCACCGCTGGGTGTTTACAGTATTAGAGATGGTCTGAAACTTGGTCAAGAGAAAGAAAAGCAGGTTTGTACCTTGCTTTGGTGCTTAGTGGCTTCAGAACCTCAGCCACGCACCAGAATTACGCACAGTACTTGTGAAAGCAAAGGTTACGGGTTCTACCTGCTGTCTCAGACTCAGACTCGGTATGTAGGGGACTCACCCAGAGGGAGGGTGATTCTAACACCTTTCCAGGAGATCTGTGCTGCTGGCTGGGGACCTCACGCAGAGGACCACGCATCTCCACGCCACCATGGGTCTCAGGGAGAATGGCTGCCCTGGGGGAAGCCGGCGGCAGCTAATCTCCCCAGGGGAAATTAAAACAGTGCTGAGATTCCATCTCACCCCAGAAAGAATGGCTGTCGTCAAGAAGTCAACCAGTAACAAATGCTGGAGGGGCTGGGGGGAAAAAGGAGCCCTTCTCCACTGTTGGTGGGAGTGTGGGCTGGGACAACCCCTGTGGATATCAGTGTGGAGATTTCTCAAAAAACTAAAACTAGAGGTTCTGTCTGCCCAGCCATTCCCCTCCTGGGTGTCTTCCCAGAAGAATTAAAAGCATCACACCACAGTGACACATACACACCCACATTTATAGCAGCATAATTTGTCACAGCTAAATCCTGGAAACAAACCAAATGCCCATCAGCTGGTGAATGGATAAAGAAGATTTTTTTTTTTTTTAATACTACAGTGTAGTACTACTCTGCCGTAAAGAAGTACGTACTCAAGACATTTCTTGGAAAGTGGATGCACCATGAGTGCATAGGCTCTTTTTTTGGTACTGGGGATTGAAGTCAAGACCTTACGCTTTCCAGGCAGGTGCTTAGGCTGCTGAGCTGTCGCCCAGGCCCTAGCGTGTACTCTTAAATGAAATAAATTGGACGCACATGGTGAATCCCACATTATTTCTGTGGTGTGAGGAACCAAAGGTGTAAATAAGGACCAAAATGTCAAATGGGGAGGGAAGTGAGGAGAGGGGAAGGTGAAAGGAAAGGGGAGGAGTAGAGAGAAAAACGGAAAAAAAGGAAGACATGGACAGAAAGCTTTGTAAATGGGGAGGGGAGGAGGGGTTTGAGGGAGGAGAGGAGGAAAGGGGAAAACTAAGGCATAGCATGGCCAGGTACAGCTGCGCTATGATGAACGCGACAGTCACGCATGTCTAAAATTCACCAATAAAATCTGACATAAAATTAAAATTACTGTCGTTTTTGCGCTGTTGTATAGTATCTGTCTTGCAGAGTCTCGTTAGTTTGTATGCTTTGTCTCCTTCGGTGGAGCTAAGCCTCAGTTCTTTTATTTTATTTTATTTTTTTTTTTATAATTTACCTTTATCAAGCCAACTAATAGCACATCAACTCCTTCGTACGAGTATTACTTTGACATTACATGAGTCATTAAGAGAAAATTCTCAAGCCAAAACCCTAGCATTCGCTAATCTTTAATTTAGTCATTATCATTTTTCTTAGATTAAAATTTTCTATTTTTTTGTCTGTGGTGCTAAAGGTCGAAGCCAGGGACTCACACATACTAGGCAAGTGTTCTACCACTGAGCTGCACCCCTAGCCCGCCTCAGTTCTTTTAAATCCATCTTTTTATGCTGAGGCATCGTCAGGTAAATTAAGACAAGGGGGTGGACTGTCTGTAACTCTTTTGGGGTACAGCTGTGGAAAACAGAATTATTCTGTGTTGCCAGGATAATATGGCTGCCCTAAAAAGTCTTCAGTGTCCTCCAATACTTTGTTCATATTAGCCCTGTTGTCCCCATATTGTCACTTGTATTTTTTCTGCTCCCATTAGGATCCATTCCAGGATTGGAGATTGGATCTTGCCATTATGTTCCTTAAAATATGTATTACAGCACATACTGTGAAATCCGTATGACTTCGTTAAGTGACATTGTGTATCACTTGTTTTTTTTTAAAGTCTTTTATTTATTTATTTATGTATGTATGTGTGTGTGTGTGGCCAGCTCAGCCCACCAGGGGGCGGGGCTGGCTGGCATGTGGTGCTGGGGGATTGAACCACGGTCCCTGTGCTTTGCTAAGCTTGTTCTAAGTAGGTGCTTTAGACCACTGAACCATCTCACCAGCCCAGCAAGATTACTTCTAAACCTGGACAGTGCACTCGAGGTATGTCTCCTGGGAAACACTGGGAAATTGATT